ATTTAAGGTTCACAGGGAATAAAGATGATTTCTTTGAGCAGTGTTGTTTACTGAAGGTGATTGAACATTATATAATTTGATAAGCAGTAAATAAAATTAAGTATATGATGAATAAACTAATAAATCGGTGAATAGTAGCTGCTGGTACGTTATTAGATTCTTGATAATTACTGATTAAATCCAATGAATTGTGTTTCAGGTGAGATCAATAGACTAAGTGATTCAATGTCCCGTCATACCATGCAAGTTAGTAGAACATAACTGCTAGAAGTTCGAGGACTGAAGTTTCATACTGAAGGCTTTTCTGAGCATTTGGAGATTAGAATCTTCACCATCCATTACGAATTAGTGTGATGATAGTCTACCAGAATCTTAGCCGCATCGTTCGAAGAATTTAATCGATCATGACATGCATTAACAGATCTTGGAATTTTTAGTAAAGAATTCTCTCATTCAAGACTAGAGCTACGCCCTGGTGATTAGTGTCAATCAGCCTAAAATCAATGTTTGTAGTTTCCTGTTAATTTTCTTTGGACGATACTCTCGCACATTCATTATCAATACAATAAAAGCTGATATATTCAAGATATTAACAAATCTGTTAATTTTTATCAATTAGTATAATTGGAATCATGATTCAGATGACAAAACTAGAACTCATCAGCAAATAAAAATATGGTTATGTTTTGTGAACTACTCACAAGTAGGTAAACGCAAGTTAATAAAATATAAGATTTTTGGAAATGCCCTTTGCTAATAACTTTGAAAAGTGGCCTTTATTGATTAATGAACAAATAAGCCTCTAAATCAGAAAACTTTCAAATAAACAGTAATGATGGTGATCTAAAGGGATTTATCAGATTTTCAGGAATCGTAATCAGTTTTTTTTACAAATTCACACTCAAAATAAGTCCCCAAATGCCCTGGTGCAGTCGAGAATGGGGAGAGTCAGCTCTCCCTCTCCAAATGCTCTCATATAGCCATGCGCATACGGCCACTTTCAGGGAATTCCTACTCACTGCCTTCTCACACCAGGTGTGTTGTTTACGAAATTGAGAGGACGAAAAGTGAATGTCCGGCGCTTTAACCGGGTTAGTGAACACGAAGGGTTCACCTAGGGTAGTTGGGAAACCCCGATTACAAACCAATGGTTTACGTGAGCTCCAGTATCCTGAGGGAACAAATGTCGTATGAACCTATTGTAGGTCACTGTACCTCACGGCACTACATCTTCTGATGCTACTCTACTGTCATGTTGATTAGACCTTTTGGTCGAAGCCTCAATGTGTGGCCGTTTAATAAAACCAAATACTTTTTTTGGGCACTCGTGCAGTATCACAGCCCACATATTGAATGATTTATGTGGTGCATATTTGGTGCTTCGTTGTACAATGTTTATGTGTTTAAATAAATAAAATATTTATTATTGTATTTCGAATTTCTCGCAAAAATTAAAGCATCAATATCTTGACTTTAATTGTTTCTTTGCTGAAGTATAATTCTAACGATCAAAAAGAAGGGAACAGTTGCCACTTTACTTTATAGCTCATTTGAAATTTTACCACGAATTGAAGTATTAAATTTTAAGGTGCATTCGAGGGCACAATACATTTACACTGTCAGTACTGGTTTTTAATAACAGTCACATCATCATGATGTCATCGTCTTTAGGACAGACGAAATGCACATTCTGGATGCTACTATTAGTAACCATTAAGATGGTGGAGACCAGATCATCCAGCTCATAGAACAAAACTCTATCAAAAAGTTAGCCACCATCCATCTCCGCTCATAATACTTGTGACTTACAGCAATATCGAGGCTATCCGTACAGGGTGAACATATGCCAAACAGCGACTAATTAATCTCAGTTTTTGATGCCGATGGGAAGATTCAAACAACCAATATAAAGATGAAGTAGCAAAATTTGCATATTGAATATTTTTGACACATTTTTAAACATAAAAAGCAACTAAATGAACTAGTTATTTGACGGAATAAAAAATCTTATTTAAAGATTCTTCAAAACAACAAGGATTAAAATCTTCGGTTTTTTCCTATGGTTGTTTAGTTTAGGTCTGTCTATTCATGATGTCAACTATCATAGTTTTGAATAATCTCTGTTAACTTCTCATTTCAATAATAATCAGTTACTTAATAGTAACTAACTTTGGTTTCTAATTACTGATTATGTAGCTCAGATATCAAGACCGATGGGATTCAGTTGGACAAATTGAATAATAAACAAAAAATATCGCGAATCGAGTGAATCTCAAAATGTAGATCGGGAGAATTCAATTGATCACTATAATAGTAAGACTTAAAGGTCTCAGGTTCTATATTGAGGTGGTGGCGTTTATGTAATGATACAGTCTGTGGAAGTGAATAATTCTTTAAAATAAATAATTTTTAAAGGGTTCAACATTGATGTTGACCTTGTTATTTTTACTATACATCAGCTAGATGAGGGAGCTTCTTCAAAGATAACCATCAGATGACTAAACAATTTGATGTGAAACGCGTCTCCTACTCTAAATAGTCAGTTTACAATTCTCGTTTCACCCTACCACTACCTAAAATCAAATACACTTTTCCTCTCAACCATCATTGTCTTCTTGCTTGATTGTCGTTTTATTAGAAAACGTTTTGTTATCAGTTTCGTCTGACTTTGTCGTATCCATTGTATCATCAAGTTGCATATTAAAACGAAACAGCTATCCAATTTCACCTGGTTCTTAGTGATATTCAAACTGGTGTCGATTCGTAATGAGAACTTGTTTGATGAAAAAGACAATATCTCTCTCTCTATTCATGTAATATGTTTTACTCAACTATCTTCAATGAGTTTGACAAATTACACCAAATATACATATACAGAATAAATGAATAATCTTTATTTGTACTGGTTGCCATTTGTACATAATATATATATATATACTACTTCAAGCTGTTCTGTTCGTTTGGGTCCGCGTGGTAACCGAAAGCAGTGACTGGAGGTTTTGGATGGAATGCCTCAGAATCGTTCATAATGCTGCAGACACTCACTGTTTATCTTCGCGCTCTTCAATCTTAATATTACTTCATACAGATCTTTTTTTTCTGCTTTTTGAAACCATATTTCCAAGATCTAATCTTCTTTTGATTACTTCTACTACATTATCTTGATCACTTTCGTTATTTTCATCTCGTTGTGCTAATCAGACTTAACAGCTTGGGCTAACGCATATATGTCCCAGACTCTATATTAATGTCCGTCTCATTTGTATTAGATTTTCAATCGTCCGTAAGTACAATTAACCGTAAGATAGCTTTGAACTCCATTATGTAAATGTTTTTATTCAGGATTTTTCATATTTTTATTGAGATCATTAATCGATCAACGTAAGATCACTATTGAAAACCTTGAAAGCACTTGTCATAATATGGGAGTTTTCAGTAGTACGCCTCCACAATCCTGCAAACAGGACTTGAACCCAAGACCTTTGATCTCACGCAAATACTTAAACTCTAAAACACTAAGTAAATAGACACTGTAATCTGATCGACTCATTATAATATTTTTCTCATTTAATAAGCAGACACAACAAGTAAAGGCTAGACCCTATTTTGACAGTTGAAGTTTACGGAAGTTACACTTCCAATACTATATATGTAGGTAGAAACAAATCTTACAATACTCTTCTGACTATTCTCTTCCAAGTTTTATTGTCTAATATACTTTTATATCTGATACAAATAGGGACAATGATCATTCTGAATTGAAACATACACAAAATTGAATTAGCTTTTTTATTAAAATACAAACAAAGACCATGTATACAGATAGACAACAAAAATACATAGACGTAAACACCATAGATGTAAATACATACAATAAAATTATTAAGATAGTGAAATCATTTTTGAGCAGGATAAAGGCAAAAGGAAGCAAACACATGATATGAAAATGAACAAGAAAGCACCACTACTAACGTCAACATTAGGTAAGTAATAGATAGCAGTTACAAAACAACTATAAGTAATAAGTTGTCAGGATAATTCGAATCAATATCCACACGGGACAATATGAATATAAAGAATGGAATCTCCGATAAGTAAGTAAACAGAAAATTACGAATGATACTGACGATAAGAAAATGTAGTTATGAAAATAAGCAAATGTGTAACAACACAAATACACACATATAGACAAAGATAAGATTGAAGTGAATGAAAGCTTATATATAGATATAAGTAAACAAATCCAATTCACAGCAATTGTATACATAGGAATGTTTAGAATGAGAGACAATGATAGAAGCAGAACTTTCTTTTCTTCTGATTAAGTTGATTGCTTAAAGATTACCATCAGGGAGAATAACCAACACATTTATCTTAACCAGATAACGTTGAATTCATCAAATATGAGAATCTAATGATCAAATACACTGGATTATTTTCAATATTTGCATCGTTTTCTTTTTGCAAAAAAAACTACTGCTAGTTAAAGTTGAATGAGAGGACCCCATCCCCTTCCCCCCAAGCACACACACAGAAGTACATATACGTATACAAACGAGTTTTCATGTTTAATCATCAAATTATGTAACCGATAGAAATAATTCTGCATGACAGAAGTTAAACAACTAAATGAACAAACAATTTGGCTGTTTGTTTGTCTGTTTTAAATCCGGGTAAAGTTCAATTTTTAAAAGGTAAACAACTTTTTTTTTCAATTTAAATGCGTACAACATTATTGTGAAACTATGGTGAAATGAATGTATGATTGATTGATTGTGAAAATATAGTTTGATAACATAAATTTAATGTTTTATTTTTCATTAATAAAATAAATAGAGATGATTATGTACAGTAAAATAGGACTTTATTTTCAAAATATTTCGATGAATGGCATGTATACTATTATTATTACAACTTTCATGGCTTAGATGAGTAGTATTAGTGGTAATGGTGGTGATGTTAGTAGTAGAACAACATAGTATGATAGTTCAGGATATCAATTAAAGATTGTCAATATCATCATAGGCTGAAGGATCAGAGATGAAAGAGAATTCAGCAAGTGCAAATGGAGCAACACTACAATTACTACTGACCGTCACAACAATGGGAGGGGTAGGTGAAGGGAAATCGGATATCAAATAGTTTGCCGGTGATTTAATTGATTTACTACATAATGATAAGGAAGATGGTGATAAAATTGTTGAGTGTGATAATGATGAAGACGATTGACCATCACTTTTAATCGCTTTTGAATAATTTCGATGAATTGTTGACAGTCGTGAACAATCTTCTGTTGAACGTTCCATTAATGGAGTCATTAGTCCAGTGTCTTCACGCTGATTTTGATTATATAATGACTGTGTTACAACTTGCAAGGTACCGATCATAGTCTTTTGTTCCTCTTCACTTTCATTCTGTGAATGTTTTAGACAGAGAGAAAAAGATTAATTTGGAATAGGTAAATTTGATTACTAAAGTACATAACAAAACTATAAAGTAGAGTAACTCAGGAAAATCACTCTTTTTGAGAAATTAGGCGACTCAGAAATCGGTCAACTGATAAGTACACGTGATTGTCTGAGAATGGGCTTTGATTTCCGAAGAATGAGACAATCATCATAGCAGGCTTAAGTTTCAACGGGACAGACATATACATGTATATAAACGAAAACACATATTTTTCCGATTCAGTTTACCTGATAAAATTCCTTCTCGTTCTCAGTATTTTCACTGAAGTCGCCTATAGAGCTCATGTATAGAAAGGTTGGATATCAGTGTCAAAATAAGACACCGCATATCACAACACCTTTAATACAGAATATGTGATTAAATGTTGTTATGTGTTCGTTAATATTCCACCAGCTTCAGAATGGATTTCCAAAATTACGATAAGAGAGCATCACGATCAATGATAAAATTCAACCATATTATTTGCCCGATAAGTGTACATACTAAAATTGCTATGATTACTAGTAATGGAGATAAGGTATTGCGCTTTTCAGTCTTCAACTAATTTGCTTAGTTAACTGATTTTGGGATAGTCGCCTGTTTATATGATTTCAGCGAAATGCTTAGAACAGTTGAAGACGTTGATATCTGAGGGAGGTTGTCTGCTGTAAAAATGGGATGCGTCTATTACCATAAACGAGAAGCACTTTAAAAAGAAGAAAATATGTTTCTGAACCTTAGATTTTGTAAAACAGTTTTTATGACCTTAGGTTGAGTATTCAGTGAACTGATGGTTTTGGATAGTCATCAACCTAAGTTGGAAATTTGTACTATTAATCTAGAAGCACCACAAGAAAATATCTGGATCTCGTATAGACTTGGTGTGGCACTTTTGGAAAGTACCAGCCCAGAGCTTTGAACATTCCCATTTCCAAAGGAAGAATATTTTGAGGTGAAAGTTAACAAACACCTAAAAATGAGTCGTGAGGTTGTATAGAATAAGCTAGCAGATTCGTTCATTTTCTCAGACTATTCAGTTTACGACTTAATGCGATAAAGGCATGATATCGTTATGCAATTCGTTTGGTGTTGAGTGGTTGAAATTAGTATTACGGATGGTCTGAGCACATAGATATGGTGATATTTGATTGTCTTCAACAATTAGTGAAAACGCTTTGATCTTAGACTTCATTTACAATACAGTTCCAAATGTGAACACTAGGGAATCTAAGATTTAATGCTGCAAGAGGAGAGAGAGAGAGAGCATTATATACTTCGAAAGTAGACATACACCCTTCTCTGTCGAGTGGCAATTAATATAAAACCTAGTTGCGTCAAAATTCATGACGATTGTCTTTAAAAATTCGAGATCGTTTACACGTTAGAATAAAACAAATACATAACTTGCTCAAGTTATGATCTGCTCAGATAATTTAAAAGGGATTCATAGTCAGTAGACTATAATTCTACTTTTTTCAACATATTATTCACAAACTAATCAACAAAATATCTACCGAATTATTGGTTAATTGAGGAAAGTATGCGGAATTTGTTACAAATTGATAATGTTAAGAAAACTGGACAGCTATCTCATCATAATATGGAATGCCTCGGACGTGTACGATATCAATCACCCCACGGACTGAACCCGAAACTTTAAGGTTGACTTACTAACGAATTAACAGCTGATAAACTCAACGTTTCACTCTGCTTGACAAACTATACTGTGTTGTACAAAGAATTCACATAACAAAATATTTCATACGCTTACCATGAATGAATCTGGTAAACGACGTGTTTCAGTTTGAGAATTATTCACCATAAAATATTTGGTAGATTGAGTAAGATCCACTGCAGTAGAATATTAAAAAAAAGGATAAATAATCTATGTAGATGATTTTCCTCTAAAACAAACGATATGATAAGAAAAACTGGAAAAATAAAGATTATTTACTTATGAAGACATTTAATTGAACAGAAGACAGACCTCAAGCAGTTTCCCTTTGGGCACTGCAGTCATGCTCTCAGGTCACTAAGACCACCCCTAACACTGTTTCCTTTTCTGGTACCTCCAGAAGAACCCTTCTACGGTGTGGGCAACCGGGATGTGATAGCCACCCTCATACCTCTAACAGAACTCAAGATCACTGTTGTGATAACACTGAGAAGAAACATTGGCTAGTTACATAATTTCCAGATTTTTAACAATTAAAAAACAAACAACCAAAGCTGTTTAATCGAATGGAATAATAATAATATTAAAAGAGAAAACAATGAACTTACATTCACTATCCATATGACGAAATGCTTGAATTTCAGCTAACATTTTATCATTTAGATTGGATGATATAGATGGATGCAATTTCGTTACACTATAAACTGTTGTTTCCGATAATAACAATGGAGTTAATGACTGATTACTAGTTAAAATAGGCTGATTTTTATCATTTAAATTTGAATGATTGCTTGTATTGTAATCATTCTGTTGACAAGACTCTTTAATGATTACATCATCACCATGAGGATAAGATTTTTTATCAGTATTTTGGTCAAGTGAATTTGTATGGAAGACTGTTGAAGAACATAAAGAACTATGCATATTGGATGATTCAGTTGTTTTTACAATAGGATGATCAATTGATCCACATGCTGTGGAATAATACACTTGAGAATAAGTAGCCAAATCATCAATGGAACCTGGATGATACAAAAACGAAAATTAACATTTTCACAAAATTTGATCAATAGAGTTAACATTCTTGTGTGTCAGTTATAAATCAGTCATATTCAACAAAGAGCCTGATACAAATGCGTGTTACTCTATATTAATATATCATATTAGGAAAACGAGATAAATTATTGGTTGAAGAATCTTTCTTTAAATTTGATGCAGGTTGGTTGGAAGCAATAAGACTAAGAGCAGAAAATCTAAGGTCCAAAGTCTAAATCAAACTGTCAACTACACGCGGGTGTGATGATTGTACAGTACGTATGAAGAAGTCCGTATGAGAAGTATCTTTCTACAGTGTAAGTAACTAGCAAGTGAATACCACCGTCATAACTCTAATATTATTCTTACGATTTCCACGTAGAACTCTCTTCTTCTATCTTCAATTTATTTCACAAATTGTTATAACGTATGAGTGCCAGTTATTATCTCGTATAAGTTCATGCTTTCTTTGATATATGAACGCCCAATTAGAGGGGAGTCGCCAGTTGTTATAACGTATGGGTGCGCGCGTGTTCCCTGTTTGATATATGAACGTTTTACGACCGCCCAATGATACATAAAATTGTATGAGCAGTCTAGGGCGCTAACCGGTCCTACTATCTGTAACAAATGTTCGAGTTCAGAAAATGTTATTCCAGATCTTCCGAAACCGTATTTCACACTGCATATTGTCACTAAAAATAAGTGCGTGTGTGTAGATGAGAAACACTTTACATGATATTCTCATTCCTCCATTTGTTTGAAGGCGATATCACTGGAGGTACTGGTTTTTCAAGGGAAAAAATTTGTTTTATAGAGTTGAGATCATGAGTCAATTGAAGCTATACCACCATGGAAAACCTAGAAGCACTGGACGGTCGTTTCGTCCTACTGTGGGACTCCCCAGCAGTGCGCATCCATGATCCCGCCTCGCGAGATTCGAACCCAGAACCTACCAGTCTCGCGCCAGAGCACTTGACCGATAGACCACTGAGCTAGTCGGCATCCAACGATGTTAATGTCTAACTTCAACCAATCCACGAAATTGAGCAATCATTCACCAATGTCATCAGTGAGTTGATATCTCCCAACAGACCTGGTTGAACTCCAATGGTTACTGCTCCTCACTAGAACTCCAAGAAACCTCATGGAGCCAGTCAATATTAAGCATATGGTCATTATCAGAAGGGTTTTGTGGAGATTTTAGTAACCACTTCTGAAACAATTTATTATCAAAACATTCAATTACAGTCGACAGTACGATTTCATCTTTGGATATGAAAATATATAAATGATTTTACATAGTTTGCGTTTTCTATTACAGGTTTACAAGAATTTATTCACTGTTCATGGTATGGAAATCCGTAACATGTTTTGTTCTTTTTTCTAAGTAAACAAAGGGTTAACTTAAATACTCATTTAACACTTTGTTCTCAATATTTATACACACACACACACACTTACTTGATATTTCTGTATAAGAATGTTCTAGCTTATTGTTATTATGTGAGATGGTTGTTTCATTATTTTGTTTTTCAGTTGAAACTAATTGAACAATATTTCTATCTGCAGATTCCGTCGAAGCAATCGAATAAATACGTTCGTATTCTGAAGATTCTTGATTAGTCTTTAACAGAAAACAAACATGGATCAATGAAAAAAAGAATGAGTGATAGAAAGAGAGAGACTCGATAGAGAAAGCATAAAATAAAGGATCCTAAAGGATTGATTAATAGGTTTTATGACCTTAAGACAAAAAGTTTTGAGGTTCCACTCCATAAGAAAAGCATACATTTCACTTTAGGTGCTTGAATAGTGCCGTTGTAGTTATTACAAAGCTATAATGCAGGAAAACAAAGCTTCAACTATATTCTGGGAATAATTTACACTAAATTATCGCTTGTAACCGAGGTGATCGACAATCCTATGAATCAATAAAGTGTAGAGGCATTATTCATCAAGTAATATTTATCAAGTACAGGTTTATATATTTTGATTCATATTATTCATGTATAAGGGCTAAAAGATACTATACAGTTACCCAAATGAAGTCACCGTTCCATAATTTTCTGAAAACCGTCACATCAATAGTTGAATGTTAATAAATTAATTTTACGGAAAGCTGTTCTTCGATAGAAGGAAAACAAGACAATATTTGCCCTATGTTGATCTGTTAAACAACAATTTATAACGACGCTTATCTTGAAAAGAATTTAGTTGGGACAATGAGTGCATAATCTAACTGGCCAGACAATAGATAACATTCAGTTTTATGTACAAATACATGACTATGTAACCGATTATGGAGTCAAAAGTTGATCATTTTCTCTAAAAACAGGAGAAAAGTTTTTAAAAAATAATGCTGAGAATGAGTCTAGTCTTTTGATGGAGTTTTGTTCTCTAAGCTGGATGGTTTAGTGGTGGAGCTTTCATCATCCTCCTAAACGACATCATCAGCACAAACTTCAGGTAGAAGTGAAATGTTTGAATTTCCCCACTCAAGGCACATTTAGTAAACTGTAAAATGTAGTTGCATCTTTGATTTATTTTAATCAGACTAGTTGAACTAATAAATAACATTTAATTTTGACATCGTTTCCAGAGGTTTCTACAGCATATAAGTCATTTACAAACTATAGGAATTACTCACTGATTACCATACTTGGAGAATGCTGGTCGGTGGCCTATGCTCCATTGAGAGTAACAGGTGTAAGTAAGTAAGTAAGTAACCATACTTACGATAATCGTGAAATGGACATATATTAGTAACTAAGCGCTTCTTCAAAATTTCTTCAAGTTTCAATATTTGTTAGGGTTGATGTAAACAGTTTGGAAATCGGTTGAGAATTCACAACATGACAAATATTCTAATACCTAGAACTAACACATTTATTAAATTCTTCTTTTTTTGGCATTCAATTGTCAAAAATAATCATAAACTCACATCGGAATCATCAAAACATTGATGATAATTATGCTTGGTACTATTGCATAATACTGGTAGGAAATTATGTGAACGCAGATTAGCCAACGATTCACAGACATTTATACGGTGATAATTTGTTTCGAATAGTAAATGATGATTATTAATTAAATGAATTGAACGGACAACAGCATCGGTCATTGGAGAGAAGAAAATACGGTAAACAAATCGAACATAAATATCAGTAAATTAATAAGTAGAAATTCAAATAGGAAATTATAAATTTACTACAAAAATGTTGGGGTCATCTCACGAGAATTCCTTCAGAAAGATCTTTAGAAGCTAGAAAAAAGCTGATAACATTTCGTTTAATCAACATACATCAAAAAAACTTCTAGAAAATTGATGGATTATGAATCGAATACTGATTAGATGACTGATAACGCTGATACTAAATTTAGCACGTTTCCAAAGTTTAATGGTTATCAAAAAAACCCTACAACTACTATTGTTTTCTGTACATAAATGAACCCAGAAGCAAAGCTTCGATTCTTACTTCGAGCTTTTGCTCAACTATTCGGGGCTAAGGTCTAAGATCATTTCAGGAATCTAAGAAGTGACTAGGAAATTGGTATCAAATGTTCGAAAGATATGCAAGAACAACTTGGAATCAAGCATCATATTTAATCATAATCACCAACCTACTATAATACTGGGAGTAGATACACCTTGTTGATAAAAAAACATGCACCACACTATATCTAGGAGTTTCGAGTTTCTATATATCGAAACACTTAAGATTGAAAATTAATAACTTCATAAACTAGTGCCGCGATTTTGATCTGGCCGCTTTATACGTCTGTCCAACCTATTTTAAAGGCAGTCAGCATAGAATACGGTCAAAGTATGAAATGCGTAAAGCCTGTCTAAAAAAATACCCCAACCAACTCAGATGATTTAGTTTTATAATCGTATCAACTGACTTGTTATTTTTACATAACACCATAAAATTAACGTTATTATTGTTCACTTTTTAATTTCACTATCCCCAAGGAACTACGAGCAAATACCTTTAGTGCTATGAATTTTTTCTACTTAGAGGTCACGTTATCGCGGTGAAACATTACTTATTTTATGAATAAAACCTTTGATCGCCTATGATAATATTATACAATCATGAGTCCATCTAAGCCAGACCACCATTGAAGTAGTCGAACGCGTCGACAACTTCACTTATCTTGGAAGTCTGATCAGCCCTAATGAGTTGGTGTCTGACGAAATCTCAGCACGGATTCAAAAAGCTCGTTTGGCTTTTGCCAACTTACGTCACCTATGGCGAAGACGAGATATCCGTCTATCAATTAAAGGACGAGTATACTGCGCAGCAGTTCGCTCTGTTCTACTTTACGGTTGTGAAACATGGCCATTAAGAGTAGAAGATACTCGTAGGTTACTAGTATTTGACCACAGATGCCTTAGAAATATTGCTCGCATCTGCTGGGATAACCGGGTTAGACGCAGGGTATTAGGAAATAATGGTAAATCAGTTGATGAGGTGATGAATCTTCATCAACTGAGATGGTTGGGCCACGTGTTACGTATGCCTGAACACCGATTACCACGACGCGCTATGATGACTAGTGTAGGGGATGGTTGGAAGAGATGCAGACTACCTGGTTGGGGTCCGCGTGACTATCGTAACCAATGGTTGGAGACTCTAGGTGACATGGCTCAGAATCGATCACAATGGCGTAGGTGTATACACTCTTTATCTTCCCTTAAACCTTGAGATTAAAATTGCTTCATAACTTTTTCCTTCCTATACTATATCCTCATATACAACCTATAATTTATATACTACCACCACCACTAAATTAACTACTATGAATCCGGTGTTCATCTTGTTGTGCTAACGAGGTATGGCAACTTGGACCGATGCATATATGTGTCTGATCCTACGTTGTAGCTGACTGACTGACTGAGACCACCATTGAAAACCTGAAAGCACTGGACGGCTGTTTTTAATGGTGGTTTAAATTAGATCGACTCATGAATTCAACTATTAAAATTACTGCAATCTCTACAAACCCCCATTCTGATTATTCAATCAGTTTTTTAATTGTCCTGTTATCTGGCAAATAAATTTGAAGAAGGAATCGATCTCACTCATATGGCTTTAAGAATCAGTTCCCCAAACAAATGATGATTGTTGGTTAGGGCATGTTAGTTATTTTTATTAGAATACTTTTCATAAGAATCAACAACAAAAAAGAAAAAAATTATAATTCACCCGTTGGAACTTTACGTGATTCAACGTCATGATGATCAGTCGATTTATATGGTCTTGTAACATCCAATGGACGAGATGAGATTCTTATTTGATTTACTAAATCAATATCTGTTTGATCATAACCTCTGACTGGGATCGGCGGTCCTAAAGTTTTATTTGTTTTCATTCAGCGAACACAAAGTAAAAAGAAAAATACAAATTATATGAACAGGGAACATCAATTGGGAAAAGAATAAAACAGCTTAATCGGACACAAGGTATTGAAGTGTTGGGTAATAGGAAGTAGACGACGACAGGAACCCTTGGACCTAATTTTCATGATAGTCGGCGCTTATTAGCAGAGATACTTGATTCAATAGATCAAAGAATCAACTCGCACTTCGAAACCTTTAGTAGTTACCTTCAGAAGAAGAAAGAAGGAAACCAAAATACCTTTCTTGTACGTTTTGTCTTATTGAAGAGAATATCTAACAGGAGAATAAAAAGAACTATTTATAGTAAACCAACTACATTTATCCAGCATATACATTCTGAGCTGTATTCTTTTGGAAATATAAACAAAATTAAGTTAAATACTTGGTCCATAGCGATAAATTTATTTAATTTGATAACATCTTCGATGATGGACTAAAACGTATTCATGATCTACTGAATATAAACATATATTCATCAAAGTTTCTAACAAAGCAAGTGTACAGTGAAATCACTTAATGTGTCAAGAAAAAACGGAGTCCCTAAAATTGAAGCTGAGAGTTTATATCGACAGTGAAGGTGATACATCGTATAGGAAAGACACTATAACAAGCAGTCATTCCAGCAAGGCTTTGTGCCTTGTTTTTCAATCAGCCTATAATGAATTCCGGAGATAAAGATAAACTCTCAACTACACAAAATTACTAGGATCTCCACAAAACCCTTCTGATAATGACCATATGCTTAATATTGACTGGCTCCATGAGGTTTCTTGGAGTTCTAGTGAGGAGCAGTAACCATTGGAGTTCAACCAGGTCTGTTGGGAGATATCAACTCACTGATGACATTGGTGAATGATTGCTCAATTTCGTGGATTGGTTGAAGTTAGACATTAACATCGTTGGATGCCGACTAGCTCAGTGGTCTATCGGTCAAGTGCTCTGGCGCGAGACTGGTAGGTTCTGGGTTCGAATCTCGCGAGGCGGGATCATGGATGCGCACTGCTGGGGAGTCCCACAGTAGGACGAAACGACCGTCCAGTGCTTCCAGGTTTTCCACGGTGGTCTAGCTTCAACTGACTCATCATCTCAGCTATATAAAATTACCACTAAACCCCCTTCTGATATGCGTATCAACTATTCATTTATCCATGTCAAGTTTGTGAAAACCAATAAAACCTAATAAAACAGTTTGGCGAAAAGAAAACAGACGAAAAAAAATTTTTTTTTCATGATCATTCACACATGATACGAATAGTGACACCGAAAGAGAAATAATTTGTGGATTCATTTTATAAATAACAAATATACACAGATATACATACTACAAATTATAGATTAGTCAAAACACTCTCCTTCCTGTCACGTATAAATAAACAAATAAACCATAAAAAATGTGACTTGCTAACTAACTAACTAACTAACTAATCAATCAATAACAAAAGCAATGAGGAGATAGAATATTCATTGTCATAAAGGCAAATTATAGAGTCAACAATATTTGAATGGTAAGATATGAAGAGGGGAATGAATGCAAGTAATGAGGTGATAAGAAGATAAAAATCTAGATAATTCTTAATCAATATTGTCAAGTTTTTTTTTGGTTGGCAATTAAAACACAAACAAAAATAAAACACGGAACAGAAATCCAACATAATATGTGTATACAAATTAAGAGATGAAATGCGAAAGGGATGAAATAATTCAAAATTGATATTGAAATAACATTTTAGGTTGTTATCGAAAGTAATAAACATTTCAATAATGATCGAGTTGAAAGATTGAAACCAGATTTCAATAATTTCATTCAAGCAACTGGTTAGTAGTGATCTAGTAAACCTCATACAAAACTATATACAATGTGACTTTAAAGTTAAAGAAATAAACCTGTTCTTAGTAAATGATCTTGCTTGAAAAATACTTGGAATATTAATATGGTGAAGTGGATTTAATACAACAGCCCAAATGAACAAGACATATGAATACTACTTCAAGAACCTTATATCTCACTGAGCTACAGGATGATAATACCACAAGAAAAATTCAGTTTGAGTCTCCTGTTTAAACATCTGAGCTGCCTGTTCCTGTCATCTACATATTTCAACAAGTTATCTAATTTTGTTTGTTTTAATACATCATTATGTTTATTAACCGCACAACCTATTCAGGTGCGTTTCTGAAAAATGTAAGACCTTTCGCTGTAAATGTTACAGAAGGCCTAATCAGAGATATCGTGGTTGCTGGCAAATATGCAGCGAGAAGAATGTACATTTTCGAGATGTCGATTGACTGTGCTGCTAAATTCTAACTGGCAATCACTCAATATTTATTGTCAGGAAGGACGAAGAAGGAAGAAACGGAAACTTGTTGAAGTACTTTGGGCTGAGAATTCCATATTGTACCAAAAATATAATATTGAATAAAGCTAACGATAATAAAAATAATAATAGAAAATAAAAGATAGCAAATCTCTCTCTCTCTATATATATATATATATATATATATATATATATATATATATATATATATATATATATATATGTATATATATATATATATTAGTGCAATATGAAAGTAAAATGGATAGGTTATTAGACGAATGGAATGAGTTTATGAGTAGAAGCCCTGATGAGTGTTTCGTCCTATTTTCGATTCGTCAGTCGATTGTACCTGCATCTCAGAGTTGTTGTCCCAGAATGACCATCAACAGCTAATGAGTCCAAAATATGACGAAACGAGCGTCCTGGATCTAATTTGTGAACCTATATCGAGGCAATTCGCACAGAATACATATACGTGCAACCAAGACTAATCAACTTTCAATCAAAAATACTGACAATGGGATCATTCAATCCGTTTTTAATTGAATTCAAAGTAAATAAATGGTTTGTACTAATTGGTTCGGCAGTAATATAAATTCCATAATAAAGCTGTTTTGACAATATACCAGCATGAATTAAAATCGGGAATTTAAAAATTTCTACTTCATCAAGTAAGTGACCTGAAATATTGATTTCTACAACAACTGTTTTTCATCAGTAATACAAAGTGTTACAGGTCAAGAGGAAAAGTAGCTTAATGAGAAACACAATTTACAAAATATATATATATATAGTTTCAGCCCTAGGATCCTGGAGAGTTGAGAATTTAGGATGGGATTTGAGGTTGGGAGTTAATTGTAATTTTTAGGAATATAAAGGAAGAATGCTTTGCAGATGTATCGATGAATGCTTACGTAGTCTGTTCTATGACTACAAATATCAAAATCTTTTAAATTACCTTTAAAAACGTATAAACTATGTTAAACTGTTATTTACACTTGAATTTACCCCCAAATGCCCTGGTACGGCCGAGAGTGGGAAGAGTCCGCTCTCCTTCTCGAAATGCTCTCACATGGCCGCGCATATATAGCTTCTGACAGGGAAGTCCTACTCACTGACTTATCGTGGCATTATTGTTGTTTACGAAATTGAAAGGACGAAAAGCGAATATTTGTTTGTTCAAATAAATAAAAAATAAATAACACTTGAATTCTACTTGTTTTGTACCACTTTTTTTCATTTAAAACTTCCTCACGGTTTCAACATCAACCTAAAAATCGCCAAAGCTTTTTCCTGATTTTTAGTATCACAATATGAAACAATCTTAAGCGTTATATTATAAATTGACTTAGGATTAAAATTTACAGAAGTGGCTTCCAACGGATTGACTGATCCTAATGTAACACCATTGTAACCTATACAGATGTCCATTTATACCAAGCCTAACACTGATTATGACTGATTTGATAAGAGAAGTGACAATCCTAGTTTTCACCTCCAATAGGATTAATGGAGTGCACCACCACACCTTTGTAACCAACCGGATAAACATCAATGGTATTAAACAAATCATAGTCCAGGCCTTATTTAGATAAATAATCTTCAAGTTGAGTTTGTTAAAACACACCAGAACTATTGACTTAAATTTCACATACATTTAAGTTAACAAGATCTAGGTGACTAAAATTTAATTCTGATTGGCACATAGCTACTTATAATTATTCAATAGTGTATATCAATTTAATATAAACACAACAATTTACTGTTATTTTCTAACAAGCAGTAAAAACTAGACTTAGGCACAGGTCCAGAATTGATTACTACCTTTAACCATCTACAAGAGGTCAACCACGATTGTAAAGTAGCTCAGTGAGAGCGACATCTCTAACTATGATACTGGGCGAAACAGATGTTCAATAATCTTAGACTGATTACCTTCAACATTCCAAATAAAGGCCTTGATGATGAGCAAAGATTATTGATGCAAAATCCTACTTTACGATTACGTACAACTGAATTTAAAAGGCCTTAACATTGACAAAACATTACAGATTCGGAATGGCAAAGGGATGTGCACTAGAATTCTATAAAACGTCGAACTCAATGGTGTACAAACACAAGTAAAAAAGTAACTACTCTTTTCTAGATGTTCATTAGTATTTAATGGATAACAAGGTTACTACTACTAGTCCTACTAATGATGCTGATTTTAATTATAAGTATGTGTGAAACAATGTAACATTTAAACCTAAAAAAATAACTCTGAAATAAATCGACCTATAATGATCATTTTGAGAATCCTGCTCATTTTTCTCACTAGAAATGGAATCAATTGATCTGTGAAGAAAAAAGATAAACCCTTTAATTATTAAGGTCAAGTTAAACACGTTTAAAATCGATCGGCATCAATTAAAATAGTCAGTAAATATAAAGAAAAAACAATCAAGCTGATACGTTGAGGGTAAAGCTATAACAAGTAACTTTATCAATCATTTCGTATTGTTTGTTCGAATCTTCCCATTGATGTTGAGAACTGCGATTGATGCATCCATCTAACGAGTCCCAAATAGGGCGAAACGCGCGTCCTGGATTCCATTTATTGTTGCTTATAGTGCTTGTGAATTAAGGCAAT